AAAAAAAAAAAAAAAAAAAAAAAGAAAGATATAAATAAAAACTTCTGAAGCTATTAGCATTATATTCTTGCTATTGTTGCTGTTATTATTACTGTTATAATTTAGAAGAATTTATTTTATGCTCACTGGTCATTTGGGAGGAAGCACGAGTCAACCGGCTTCATAGAATTCTTAAATCAAATAGCTAATCTAGACAGGAGTTGAAAAATGAACTTTAAATTTATTTGGGTGAAGAGCTGTTTTCTAATTATTTAATTCGTAATCTTTTACCTAAGGAGATCAATTTTAGCACTGACTTTCATAAGATGATTTTTCTAAAATATTTATGTTTTTAAAACACTCTCAAATCCCCTACATATCACCCTGAGGACTATATCCCATTGTTACTCACCCCGAGGACTATTCACATCCACAAGCTGCCCCTGAGGTATAATCACTTGTGCCATTGCTGTCTGGGTAGATGGAATTACACGAAGTACCTGTCCGTTTTCTGTTGGGCTGGCAACAATCATCTTGGAAGCATTAAAAAAAAAAAAAAATCAAATGCATATGCCTAGACTGATTTAACAAAAATTATTAATTAAATAAATTATTAAACACATACCTAGCTCTATGGTGGATTCTGATTTCCACCATTTTATAGATGAAAACATTGAGGCACATAAACATTTTTTTCCAAGGTCTCACAACTTATAAGTGGTGAAGCCAGGATTAAAAACAGGCAGTTTGACCCTAATCCTAGGGTCTTAATCACCAACAGTCTTAATCATTACCCATGGATGAAGTCTAATTACTTGGTAGTCTGAACAAGTCTGTCTGGACGTAATACATTTACCTTTTGCCACTTACTGTATTATTTATACATGTTTGACCTATTTGTGTGGCAATCATTTGTCTTATATTTAAAGTCATTTTCCTTAGTTTAAAAATGGTAACTTGTTGGTCGGGAGTGGTGGCTCATGCCTGTAATCCTAGCACTTTGGGAGGGAGGCCGAGGCAGGCAGATCACGAGGTCAGGAGTTCGAGACCAGCCTGATCAATGTGGTGAAACCTCGTCTCTACTAAAAATACAAAAATTAGCAGGGCGTGGTGGCACGCACCTGTAATCCCAGGTACTCAGGAGGCTGAGGCAGGAGAACCGCTTGAATCTGGGAGGCAGAGGTTGCAGTGAGCCGAGATTGCACCACTGTACTCCAGCCTGTGTGACAGAGCAAGACTGTCTCCAAAAAAAAGAAAAAAAAGGTAACTTGATAAATGTCTACTTAAATAGGATTTATTTTTGCATCTCAGCATTTATATATAGCCTCTATGGTTCATAAAGAACTATACTATGAAGTGCCTCAAAAGTCTGAAAACACAGGGAAAATAATATATTTACTGTACTTTTTTTCAGTTTAACAACTGAACCTACTCTATCAAATTTAGAGGAATATCAACTAAAAAGGCATATGAAGTTGAAAAAAAACTTTTAGACCTATCATTTGAAAGTATAGCTAATACAGTATTTGAAATTAAGTCTATCTGATGCTTCCAGACTTTTTTGGAAGTCTGGAAGCATCAGACTTCCATCAGCACCACATAAATTTTATTACTTAACATACTACTCTCCTATTAACACGGTTTTATTGTTTTATCCAAAGTCTGCTGCCTTCTTTAATGCAGGTAACAATCCTTAATCATTCCAACCCACTTTCCCAGACTCCTCTTTTGCTAGATAAAACATGAAAATATTGCTTATGCTTGATAGGGACTGCATTCCAACTTCTAAGAGAGTTACCTGAGGCCAGACACAGTGGCTCATGTCTGTAATCCCAGTACTTTGGCAGGTCAAGGTGAGAGGATCACTTGAACCCTTTGGGCTACCTGTCTCTACAAAAAATTTTTAAAATTAGCTGAGTGTGATGGCATGTGCCTGTAGTACCAGCTACTCTGGGGGCTCAGATGGGAGGATCACTTGAGGCTGGGAGGTCGAGGCTGCAGTGAGCCAGATCATGCTACTGTTCTCCAGCCTGGGTGACAGAGCAAAACCTTGCCTCAAAAAAAAAAAGGCCATTTGAAAAAAATGCAAATATAAATTTGAAAAAAAAATTTTTAAAAATTTAATGTTGGCCGGGCGCAGTGGCTCAAGCCTGTAATCCCAGCACTTTGGGAGGCCGAGACGGGCGGATCACGAGGTCAGGAGATCGAGACCATCCTGGCT